AGAACAGAGTAGAACTGCCCCATAGGGTTTCCAAGGCTGTAAATCTTTACAGAAGCAGACTGCCACATCTTTCTCCCACAAAGCGGCTGGTAGGTTCAAACCACCAAGCTTTCAGTTAGCAGCTGAGCACTTAACCACTGAGCAACCAGGGCTACCACTTAAAGATAAGGTGGTACTATTTGAAACAGAAAGGAACTCAGAAATCAAATATTTGAAGGCTAACTAAGGCACAGAGAAGCCCAGTGCTTTCCCTAGGATCACACAGCTATTGGTGGTAGTGAGAAGACCAGATCCTGGTTGTGGACTACTTTAAACTGACTTTCTTTAGTCCACCCCTCCAGGAGACACATTAAAGGAGAAGGAATGCTCACCTGGGATCTAGACTCAGTTTCTCAAAAAAAAAAAAAAAATCAATCTTTCAAATCATTAAATGAAAACTGGCAAAGAAAAACTCTTCAAAGAAAGAGTGTATGCAGAATATACTCCTTCCAAGAGGACATGTGAAATTGCACATGTGCAGATAGTAAGCCAGTATGCACATTTATTATTCATTTAGGACATAAAACGAAAGTTATAAAAGGTGACCATAGCTCTTCTGGCAATGAGCAGGATTTACCACCGACTTTATAATTGGGCATAAGCACGCGAGGTCCTTAGAATCAAAGATGAGCCAGTAGGATACAGTTTAAATAGAGCCCACTCTGACCACAGCTCCAGAGGGCTCAAAGCAATTTGCGGTGTTGGCGCCACATGGCACCACTTTAAGTCAATTTCCTACAACTTGACATTTCAGTTTGCTGACCACTATCCAAAACAAGCCTAGATGTTGTGCATTATACTTCCTTTGCTTCATCATAGCCAGGATTTTGGAAAGAGAGAAAAAGAAACTCGTAAAAATTAGTAGAGATTTAGAGCTGGCAATTTTGTGTATCATTAAAACACTGGTGAGGAGAAGTGTCAACCAACCAAGTCCCATCTTGGCTCCAGTGTCTTTTGGGACTGTCTGGCTCAGTCTTGGTAGGATTAGGAACAAGAATGTCTCAAGTATGGACTCTAGGGTCAACTTTTAAGTCTTATTAAACACACATAAGCACACACACACACAGAGAGAGAGAGAGAATTTTAGCTCTAGTTTGTTGAACCAAATCTAGAAATGGCAGACCAACTTGTAGAGTAGGAGTTAAGAGTCACACTTCTACTTATTTAACAATGGATAAGCATCACCCACTATATTTCAACTTCTTTGGGTATTCATTTATAGATAACAATAATAATAGAAAAAACTAATATTCATTAAGCAGTTACAATGCACTAGGCATTCTTCTAAGAGTTTTACATGAATTAACATATTTATTTTTCATACAATTCTCTAAACTGAGGCACTGGGAAGTAAAGTGACTTGTCCAGGGTTGTGGAGCAAGCAAGTGGTAGAACCAGGACTCGAATCCAGGTATTTGGTGCCAGACTAGTGGCAGGGAAGCACCGTCTGAATAGATCTCTCCAAATGTTCTTCCTTTTTTTTACCCAACATCAACATAATTCTCATTAATCAGGTTGCAGAAGATTATATTGTAGTCTATGTAGTTCAAAGAAAAACATTCCTAACAAACCAGACTGAATCAAGAAGAAAATAAAATGTATTTATTGTAATTTGAAAATGTAAAAGTTAAATAGGAGCCTTGGTTGCACAGTGGTTAGAGCACTTGGCTACTAACCAAAAGGACGGCGGTTCAAACCCACCACCTGCTCCACAGGAGAAAGATGTGGCAGTTAGCTTCCATAAAGATTTACATCCTTGGAAACCCTATGGGGCAGTTCTACTCTGTCTTATAGGTTTGCTATAAGTTGGAATCAAGTTGACGAAGGTGGGTTTGTTTTGTGTTTTTAAAAGTTAAACAGATTAAACAGCTTAGTTGCCTCATTTGTAACAGATGTAGCAGATCATGAGCAGTTACAGCGAGGCTTCTATCTCACTGCTGTAATTGTAAAACCAAAAAATAATAATAAAAAAAAACAGATTCCAAGAAACAAAGGCTTTTTGATGAATTGGCCCCACTGAAGTATAAACTCTCATCTTACCTCACGTAGAGTGAAATGGGTACAACTGTATTGAGAATAATAACATATGACCAGAATGTTAAAAATCCTGAGAACACAGAGCTCTTCTCTCCTTCATTCCAGAAGACGAAAGTTCTGAATTGGTCCCCAACTTGTTGCTCCCAGATTGAATTTCCTATTGCAAGAATAACTCCCAAGCTTACCAGAAACCCAAAAATCTGAAATGAGAACAGAAGTCTGGTTAAGGTTAATGTGAACCCAAAACTAGTCATATCATTGTGATCTAATTACACTTCTAGCTCTAAGAAATCTCCATTTGAAAAACAAGTTTATGCAAAGCTCTTCTTACTTATCTTTAGTCATATGAGTAAAATTTAAGATTTTTATGTCAGTAATTTGGCTAAATATCTTACATACATTTTCTCATTCAATTCTCCCATTGACTCTGAGAGAAACAATCATTATCCAGCCACACTTCACAGATTAAAAACAAAACAAAATAAAATGGGGGCACAGAGAAATTAAGGAACCTGGATGGTGCAAGCAGTTTGCAATTGGCTGCTGACTGAAAGGTTGGTGGTTTAAACCTACCTAGTGGCTCTGCAGAAGAAAGATCTGGCAAACTGCTTCCATAAAGATTGCAGCCAAGAAAATAGTATGGAGCATTTCTACTCTGTAACACACGGAGTGGCCATGAGTCGAGGGCCAACTCGACAGCAGCTAACAACAACAGAGAAACTACATAACTTGTCTATGGCCACATAGCTAATAGCTTCACATCCTCAATTGGTGATAAATGCATATATTTAAACATTCGGCAAAATAAAAGAAAATTAGTTTCATTTCCGCTTAGGAGTTCAGGTTGAGAAGTAGCTAAAGTACCTTCAAAGTGTCCTGTATGAGTAATAAATTATATGGTTACTCAAGTCATAAGAACGAAAAGAAGAAAATGTCAATGATTCAAGAGCTATCAGACTAGTCAAGTTTCTTGGCTACAGATCTGGGTGCATGATCCTTATTTGAGGGCAAGAATGAGAAAGGTTAATGAAAATACTTCATGGCATATATAATTTCCTTTTTAAATTAAAAAAAAAAGCAGAAAAAGTGGGAAGTAAACTGAAAATTGTAAGCACACCCTTACAACTGGGTGCATGATCCTTAACTTGAGGGCAACAAGAATGAGAAGGGTTAATGAAAATACTTCATGGCAGATATAATTTCCTTTCTAAATTAAAAAAAAAAAAAAGCAGAAAAAGTGGGAAGTAAACTGAAAATTGTAAGCAAACCCTTACAAAGACAGTCAATTTAGAGCAGGGTTTTGAACCAGTTCATCGGGTTCAACCCTTGCTGAGAATTTGCATTTATAACAAATTCCCTGCTGATAATTAGCATTTCTAACAAGTTCCCAGGAAGTTATACATAAGGTTCACTGGGGATCTTGTTAAAATGTAGATTCTGATTCAGTGTATCTGGAGTGGAAATACAAATTCTCAGCAGGGAACTTCTTAGAAATGCAAGTTCTCAGCAGGGGTTCGAACAGGAGCAAACTGCTCCAAAGCCCTCGTTTAGAGATATATCACCGGCAGAGACAGCAAGTTCAGTCCCTCATGAGTTCAAAATCCCAGCCTCGGGAAAGACAGACACAAGCTCAGTGAACATGGTAAGACCTGAGCTGAAGAAGGCATTATGGAGACTCTGTTCTGCTAGGTGTCACATTGTGTCAGGAGCTGAGACCAGCTAGTGTGAAGGATGAGTGAGGATAGACAGCCGCAATGACATTTCCTCCTATTTCATTCTTTTCTTCAAGAAAGCATATTCAAAAATTCTAGGCTTGCTTTCTATTTTATTCTCTTACGGACAATATAGACACGTAAGAAGACAAGGTTGGGAAAAAAACCTATTTTAAACTATAGTAGAAAACTATGTATTAGAGAAAAGTAGAATTGTGAATCCCTGAAATCTTACCAATTCTGTACCTGTATCACAGTATCCTCTTTTCTCTTAATTGGTTGACACTATAAATTAATTGGAGTTGTAATGGCACAGTGGTTAAGAGCTACGGCAAGAAGCTGGTAGTTTGAATCCACCAGCCACTCCTGGAAACCTATGGGGGCAGTTCTACTCTGTCCTGTAGGGTCACTATGAGTTGGAATCGACTTGACTGCAACAAGTTTTGTAAATTAATTGAACTGGATTACTTTAAGAGCGTTAAAGTTGGTGACACTTGACATTAACTCATTGCCATAGATTCAATTCCAACTCATAGGGACCCAATAGGACAGAGTAGAATTGCCCCCACAAGGTTTCCAAGGCTGTAAATCTTAATGAGAGCAGACTGCCACATCCTTCTCCTGCAGAGAGGCTGGTGACTTTGAACTTTTGGGTTAGCAGCCAAGTACTTCACCACAGTGCCACCAGGGCTCCTTTACTTGAAATTAAATGCTCTAATTTAAGGTTGGATTCTGCTTCTAACTCCCCAGAGGATCATACTATTTCTTTTTTTAATTGTGTTTTTGGTGAAAGTTTATAGCACAAATTAGTTATTAATTCAAAAATTTTATACACAAATTGTTTTTTGACATTAGTTGCAATCCCTGCAATGTGTCAGCACTCTCGCCCTTTCCTTTTCTACCCTAGGTTCTCTGTGTCCATTCGTCCAGTTTTCCTAACCCTTCCTGCCTTCTTGTCTTTGCTTTTTGGCAAGTGTTGCTCATTTGGTCTCATACACCTCATTGAACTAAGAAGGACGGTCCTCACCTGTGTTAGTGTTTGTTTTATAGGCTGAAATGTGGACTTTGGGAATGGCTTCAGTTCTGAGTTTGCAGGGTGTCCGGGGACCAAAGTCTCAGAGATTCCTCCCGACTCTGTCAGACCAGTAAAGTCTGTTCTTTTTTTGTGAATTGGAATTTAGTTCTACATTTTTCTCCTTCTCTGTCCGGTGCCATCTATTGTGATCCCTAGTAGAGCTGTTGATGATGGTAGCTGGTCACCATCTAGTTCTCCTGGCTCAGGCTGGTGGAGGCTGTGGTTCGTGTGGTCCATTAGCCCTTTGGACTAATATTTTCCTCGTGCCTTTGGTTTTCTTCATTCTCCTTTGCTCAGAACGTGATGGGACCATTAGATGTATCTTAGATGGCAACTCACAAGCTTTTAAGACTCCAAACACTACTCACCAAAGTAGGATCTAGAACATTTTCTTTATGAACTACATTATGCTAACTGACCTACATGTCCCCAAGACCCTGGTCCCCAGCTCTCAGCCCTAGTAGCTTGGTCCCTTAAGGTGTTTAGAAATTTTTATTCCCTCTTTGATTTCTTCTATTACTCAATGGTTTTTAAGCAAGGTATTTGATTCAGTTTCCATGTATTTGATTTTTCTCCCTTGCTCTTCCTGTTATTGATTTCTACTTTTATGGCATTGTGATCAGAGAGAATACTTTGTATTATTTTGATGTTTTGGATATTTTTGAGGGTTGCTTTTTGGCCTAAAATATTTTCTATTCTGGAGAATGTTCCATGTGAGTTGGAAAAGAAAGTATACCTTGCTGCTCTTGGCTGGAGTGTTCTGTATATGTCTATGAGGTCAAGTTGGTTGATTTTGGCCTTTAGATCTTCTGTATCTTTGTTGAGTTTCTTTCTAGGTGTTCTGTCCTTTACTGAGAGTGGTGTGTTGAAGTCTTCTACTATTATTGTGGAACTGTTAATTTCTCTTTTCAGGGCTGTTAGAATTTGTTTTATGTATTTTGGAGCCCTGTCACTGGGTGCATAAATATGCATTAAGGTTATGTCTTCTTGGTGGATTGTCCCTTTAATCATTAGATAATGTTCTTCCTTGTCTTTTATGGTGGATTTTGCCTTAACATCTACTTTACCTGAGATTAGTACCATCACTCCTGCTCTTTTTTTATGCTGTTTGCTTGATATAATTTTCTCCATCCTTCAATTTTTAATATATTTGTGTCTTTGTGTCTAAGGTGTGTCTCTTGTAGACAGCAGATTGATGGGTCATGCTTTTTTTTTTTTATCCATTCTGCTGCTCTACGTCTCTTTACAGGTGCATTTAAGCCATTTAAATTCAAGGTGATTATCCATAGGTATGAGTTTATTGCTGTCATAGTGTGCTTTTTTTTTTTTTTTTTTTTTTTTTTGTGGTGCTGATATTTTCCTTCTTTCTTTTACTTTCCTGAGCTTAGTTTCTTTTGTTTGTGGATTTTCTTTTCTTTTCTTTCATTATTATAGATTTTATGTTTACTGAGGCTTTGATGAGTAGGTTTATTAACTTTCTTTGTGGTTACCTTGAAATTTGCCCTTATCTTCCCAAGTTTGAACAAGTCTTTTATTACTTGATATTGCCTTGACTTCCTCTTCATTTGAAAGTTCTACATCTATACCATTTACTTCCCTTTTTATTGTTTTAACGCTGTTGTCCTTTACAGATTGACATCTCTGTATTCCTGTTTTAAGTCTTTCAGTTTTTTTTTGTTTTTTTGTTTTCTTTTATTGTTGAGAGTTCTTTACCTGGTTGATATCTGGCTGATGCTGTCCTGTGTCTTAGACTCCAGTTGTTGTTTGATGTTGTTGGTTCTCTAACCAAAAGTACTCCTTTTAATATTTCTTATAACTTAAAAAATCTGGTTTTTGCAGATTCCCTTAATTTCTGTTTATCTGGAAATGTCCCAATTTTGCCATCATATTTGAGAGAGAGTTTTGCGGAATATATTATTCTTGGCTTGCAGTTTTTTCTTTCAAGATTTTATATATGTCATCTCATTGCCTTCTTGCCTGCATAGTTTCTGCCAAGTAATTAGAGCTTATTCTTATTGTTTCTCCTTTGTATGTGACTTTTCATTTTTCTCGGTCTGCTCTCAGGATTCTTTCTTTGTCTTTTGGTTTTGGCTAGTGTGATTAATATCTCTTGGTGTCTTTCTTTTGGGGTCTATCATTTATGGGTTCTTTGAGCTTCTTGGATGGTCAGCTTTTCATCTTTCATGATATTTGGGAAGTTTTCTGCCACCAAATCTTCAACAATCTTTATGTTTTCAATTTTCTCTCCCTGTTGTGGAACTCTGATCACACACAAATTTTTGCTCTTGATTTTGTCCCACATATTTCTTAGGTTTTCTTCATTTTTCTTCATTCTTTTCTCTGATTTTTCCTCAAACAAAATAGTGTCCATGGATTTGTGTTCAATCTTGATGAGTCTGTCTTCCATTGTTTCAAATTTTCTCCCAAAACCTTCTATTGAGTTGTCTATTTCTGAAATTTTGTTGTTTATCTTTTAGATTTCTAGTTGCTGTTTTTGTATAATTTCTAATTGCTTATTTATTTAGATGTTTTGTTCTTGTATTATTTTCCTGAGTTCTTCTACTGTTTTGTCTGTGTTTTCTTTAATTTTGGCTATGTTTTCATTGTTTTTGTCTGTGTTTTCCAAAGTTTTGTCTGTGCTTCACTAGATCTCTTTCCTAATCTCTTGGAGAGCCGTAAATATTAGTCTTTTGAATTCCATATCAGATTGTTCCACTTCCTTTTTTTCTTCTGGAAGGTCATCTGATTCTTTATTTTTGTCACTTGCTGGAGTCATCTTGTCCTGCTTCTTTTTTATATGTTTTGATATTGTCTGCTGTCTCCAAGACATTAAAGTACTATTTTCTTTATTTATAGATAGTATGTTCTTTTGTTTCATTCTGCTTTTTTGTTTTGTTTTGATATGTCATGGCAGGCGGGCCGAGCATGCTTTGCTCCATACTTTGCTCCTGTGGGCACGATAGCTCTCACCACCATGTCTGGATGGACAGGGCAGCAGCAGGCAGGGTGAGCCTGCTTTGCTGTACACTGGTTTGGTAAGGTGGCTGAGGATGGACTGGGTGGGTGTTTTCTGCTCCTGTTGTTGGTCCAGTGGTGTGTAAGCATTCATAGCCCCTTGCTAGATAGGCAGGGGTGTCATACAGGGAGTGGTACAGGCTCACTTCCCTCTATCCAGCAGTTGGCTGAGTGGTGGGGCAGTGTGGACCTGGTGTGGCAGTGGGACTGAGCTGGGGACACTCTAGCCACAGTGTCGTGGTGAGGTCCAGCTGAAAGGGGGAGTGGCATACAAGGCTAGTTGAGGGGAACAAAGAGAAGAAAAGAGAGGCAAAGAAAAGAGAAACAAGAAAAAATGGATAGCCAGTGGGTGGGGGTGGGGTGGACCTGGGTGCCAGCAATGAGGGGGTGGAGGTGGCATACGGGGCTAAGTGGGAGGGAGAAAGAAAAGGAAGAGAGGGAGAAAAAAAAAATGGCATGATGAGAACTGGTGGGTGAAGGCACGGAGTACCCAGGGTAGCAGTGGGCCATTGGCTCTCTACATGTGGCAGTGCAGTGTGGCCTGGCAGGAAGGTGTAGAGGTGGCATACAGGGCTAGGTGGGAGGGAGAAAGAAAAGGAAGAAAGGGAAAAAAATGGTGTGGCAGGAGCCAGTGGGTGGGGGCAGGAGAGGTGGACCCAGGCTGGTGGTGGGCCAGTGTCTCTCTAGCCAAAGCAGTGCTGTATGGCCATTTGGGAAAGGCTTTAAGTGGTGTACTGGACAGAAGGGTGAGGGGTGGGAGAGCATATTTCTCTGGTTACCAGGTGCTCTGTCTCCTGTTGGGAGCTCTGTGAAGTTGCCATCCCGTACTCCCTGTCTGGGGTCATTGCTGAGCTCTAAGACAGTGACGCTGTGCTGTATTAGTTGACAGGGGACCTCCACTCTGCATCTCTACTTGTTCTCTGTTTTCCTTCAGTTTCTTCTTCTATTCAGTGTTTAATCTTGTTCTTTATCCCTTCATTTGATGCTTACGGTTCCAGGATTGATGTTTGTGTCTCTTTTACTTAGTTTTTCAGGTCTTTGCTGCAGAGGGACAGCATGGCGTGTCTGTCTAGGGTACCATGTTGGCTCCTCCTGTTCTATTTTCTAATATGAAAAGCAGGAACAGTCCCTTGTGCACAATCAGTAATTTTACTCTGAGCTGGATAGATACACAATCCCCATGCAAGCCCTAGAAATGGGTTCAAGGCCATTTAAATTTGTAATGCTAGAAGGAGGCACAGGCTCCACATGGGCATGCCCCTCTGGCCCAATGTGCTCTGGCCCAAGGGGAAAGTGTGGGAGGAAACACAGGTGCCCCAAGTCTGAGGGCAATCCTGAGAGTAAAACACAGCCTGGCCAACATTTTGTGTCCAGCAAAAGTTAATTTTCTTCTTTCCTTATTCAAAGTCCAACTATTACATATCAGTCAAGCATGCACTAAGCTCAGATTCTTTATGATTGTGAGTTTGTAATATATTTGAAAGTCACTGTCTTCATATTTCAAAGTCATTGTCTTCAATTTAACACCTACTTAAGGAGGCAAAGCAATATTACAAAAAAGTCAGATAACAATGAAATCAGTAGTATGAAGTTGCACAAGATTAACTGGCAAAAGGATGGGATGCAGAGGACTGTTTATGGTAAATGTGTGGTATAGAAAATCATTTAGAAAATTTAGAGGCATGAGTTTACCATGGGCTATAAAGGTTTAGAAGCCTTCATGAAGGAGAATTGTGGACCTGGGCCTCAAAGGGTGCACAGCAGGACTGGCCACATAAATTTCAGAGTCTAGTGCAAAATGAAAATAGGGGGCCCTTTGTTTATAAATAATTAATAATTCCTAGACAGTGACAGCAGATCCTTAAACTAAGCACGTGGCCCTGTGTGACTGCACACACCCATGAAGCCAGCCCTGTTCATAAGCTATGTAGAGAGGACTTGAGCAGAGGTAAGACAACAAAAAGACCAAATTATCTTAAAAACTATATTTTATTTTTCAAAATCCAATCCTTGGAATATGGAGAATTTGCATGACCATGAAGGCCTCTGTAAGCACCAATCTACTTCTTATGAGAAATTCTACCAAAGCTGAGAAATCATCATTATCTAGGAAGTAGAAGCAGTATGCCTGAGCCCCAAACGCAAAATTCCCAAAATACAAACTCCTCAAGGAGAATGGAGTTTCTAAGAGAATTCCCAGAAAAATATAAGAAATATATCAGGATAACAATGACTGGTGATACCACCTAATTTTGTTAGAGTGACTTACCCACAGTACTAGCGTATTCATCAATCTATCAATGCTCGTCCTTTTAAATTTAGTCTTACCACTGTTCTGCATTAGTTTAGTGTCAGGACCTGCAAAAAAAAGTAAATAACAAATTTGAAATGATAAGATTATGCATTATTATTATCATTACTTCTCAATCATATAAAATTTTCCCAAAAGGAAAAGAAAATGTTTCTGAAAAGAATTTAACTTTTACTAAGAGAAAGGGCCATTGTTAAGTTGTGTATGATTCTCATCCAGTGGCTTAACCCTGGAAACTGCAAGATAATCGGTCTCCTTTGAATAGGATAAATGCAGGCAGAACTTGTAGCTGAAAGTTGTCAGAAATGCTATTCTTCAAAAACCTTTGCACATGTGTAACAATAATATCTTCTAGTTTGAAGCAGTTAAGGATAATGAAGTCCATAAAAGTGAGGACTAATTTGGAAATGTTAAAAAGGATGCAAAAATAAAAACAATTCAGAACACTAATATCAAAAGCAGAAATTTAAGAACTCAAACTCTGAGTCCATTTCCCCAAAAAGGTTTGTGAATAATTCCAAGAAGTTCATCAGGAAACAATTTAAACTTTATTGTATATCAAATACTGGTATATAATACGCAAGGAGCGACGGTTCAGTGCTTGGCTGCTAACCGAAAGGTTGGCAGTTTGAACCCACCGAACATCTCTGTGGGAGAATGACATATATATCTGCTCCCATAAAGACTACAGCCAAGAAAACCCTATGGGGCAGTTCTACTCTGTCACATGGGGTCATTAAGAGTCAGAATGGACTCAATGGCAACAACAACGACATATGATATGCCCTTTTTGTAGAGGCAAGAATTGTCTTAAATCTTGTGTTAGATTATTTCAGGTAAATACAATAGATTATCTCATGATACAGTTACTAATTACTTGTTCAAGGAATTCTAAGTGTATTATTAACTGCTTTAAAAGTTAGGTATTAGGTGATTAACAAAGGAGAGTATTAGAATAGATTGTTAAGGAAATTCCTGTGGACAGAGACAATGCTGAATAGAAGCAATTAGATTTTAATTATAAACTGACTTCTTTAGTGTTCCCTCTCCATGTTATCTTCCCACGATTATTAATCCAGACAGCCATTTAAAATAGGAGGAAAGGGAAATGAGAAAAATAAGAGAAAAAGAGAGGCACACATGAAATTAAATATCATTCTGGGTAGAGTAGACACACTCTTAAGACTTTCATTTACTTGAAGGGCAAATTGAAGTAAAGTTTGGGGTCTCATAACAATTCACTTGAGTTAGAAATTGTACCCCAGTGTCCTATTCCTAGCCACTTTCTCAGAATCATTTATAAAAATTGTATGGACATTGAGAGTGGGAAATATTTCTTTTATGGTGAAGACAACAAAGAGCAAACAAAGCTTATGATTGCTCAAAAGCTGAAATATTGACAGACCAGTTTTTTGGCAAAAATTTATAGTTTATAGGCACAGAAACACACACAGACTAACAAGTAATCCACTTTATGGGTTTGTAAGCACTTATCTAAATATATTCACAGATATTGATACACACATATTCTTCCCCCCACAGTCAAAGTTCTTGAAGAAATTTTCTATTCTCATCTGCCACTCATTACTCAATCTAGTTTCTGGGCCACACACTTCACCAAAATAGACCTGATGTTATCATCAATATCCTATATGTCTTCCTGACCACTCAGCAGCCTTTGACACTACTGACTATTCCATCCTTTTGAAACACCTTCTTCCCTTATCTTCTATGTTACAATGTTCTTTTGTTTATCCTCCTGCTTCTTTGATAGATCCTTCTCTATCTTCCTTGATGCTTACCTCCCTCTACCTGGCCATCAAATACTAGAATTCCTTCTCTCCCACCCCAATCATGCACTCTTTCAGGGACCTGCTGTCTATTTACAAACATTACAAACACTGTAGGCAAGAGTATACCTTTCAAATTTAGCACATACCGGTATACATCTTACCTGTTTGTAAACTCACAATGGCTTCCCAATGTTTTTAGGATAATGATCAAAATTCAGGATACATATCACAAGGCTTTGCATGGTCCAGCCACTATCCACATCTTCATGCTTTCCATGTTCCATACTGGACTTCTTAAGTTATTTTACCTCACCATCTTCACTCCTGCCACAAAGCCTTTGCCCATAATGTGCCTTCTGGCTGGCTTCCCTACACTCTTCACCTGGTTAACATTTTCTCATCCTTCAACTCTTGACTCAAACTTCATTGGGAAAGCCTTCCCTAAATCTCAAGTCGAAATCAGTTTCCTCCATTATATACTCTTGTGAGTTCACATTCTTATTCTTCAGAGCACCTATCTCAGTTTGTGATTATGTACATTCATTACTACAATTATTTGAGGTTAATGTCTCTTTTCCCTACCAGACTGAAAGCTATACGAGTAAAGGAAGTGCATTTGTTTTTGCTCACCTTCTTAATCACCAATAAGTAGGTAGCATAGTGCCTGGAACATAGTAGGCACTCAGTAAATACTTGTTTAGCAAATTAATTCATTTCCTGAGCACTGCTTATGTTTTAGGGAATGTGTGTATATGCTTTACATTTATGATCACAATAACTGACCTAGCATAGCATGCTGTAGCTGAACTATAATATTGAATTAGTTATTGTTAACAAGATCATACAAATGCAAACAAAATTTTGGGCTACAGGGGCAGAGCTAACAGGGCACTATAGACAGAAGCACCATGCCATCCCTCTACAGCAAAGACCCAAAAAACTAAGTAAAACAGACACAAATGTCAGTCCTGGAACCCTAAGCATCAAATGAAGGGATAAAGAACTCAATCAAGCACTGAGTGGTGTAAGAAACCGACAGAGAACAGAGAATGAAGAGAGCCATGGAATGGAGGTCCCCTACCAGCTAACATGGCTGAATTTGCCATCTTGGGCCACAGCTACCAAAGAACTCAGACAGGGAGTAAGGGAAAGCAACTTCACAGAGCTCCAAACAGGAGACAGAGCATCCGGTAACCAAGGATATACGATTTCCCACCCTCCACCTTTCTACCCTCTACTTGGCCTCCACTGCTTTCCAATGGGCCATGGTCGATTGGCCCACGAGCTCACTGCTACCCTGGTCTGCCCCACCCCTAACGTCTGGTTCCCCTAGTGCCATATTGTTTTTTTGGCTTTTGTTTGTTTTTTTTCTCTCTCTCCCTTCCTTCCTCTCCTTTCTCCTGTACAGCAAGCCCTGAACACCACCCCTACCCCTTCTCAACAAGCTGTGCTGCATCACGTGGCTAGAGAGCCACCAGCATGGCCTCCTCAGTTCTATGCCTCTGCACTGGCAGGCTCCCTCAGTGCCATTTTTTTCTTCTGTTTTGTCTCTCTCTCTCCCTTCCTTCCTTTCCTTTCTCCAACCTACCCGGCCCCTTGAGTTTCCCCAGCCCTTCTCAATGGGCCGTGTTGCACCACTTGGCTAGGGAGTCACTGATACATAACCTCCCTGGGTCTGTGCCACCCCTACTGGCTGGCTCCTTCAGTGCCATTTTTTTTGTTTTTTATTTGTTTATTTCTTGTCTATCCTTTCCTCCCTTTCCTTTCTCCTGTCTACCTAGCCCTGTGTGCCATCCTTGCTCCTTCTTGACAGGCTGTGCTGCACCACTTGGCTAGAGAGCCACTGGCACATGGCATCCCCAAGTCTGTGCCACTGTCACAAGCTGGCTCCCTCAGTGCCATTTTGTTTGTTTATTTTTGTTTCTCTTGTTTTGTTGTTTCTTCTCTCTCTCCATTCCTTCCTTTCCTTTCTCCTTCCCACCTATCTCTGTGAACTTCCCTCACCCCTTTTTGAAGTGCTGTTTGGCACCGCTTACCTAGAGAACCACTGGCACACGGCCTCCCTAGGTCTGCACCACCATTACCAGCCAGCTCCCTCAGTGCCATTTTGTTTGTTTATTTTTGTTTTTGTTTCTCTTGTTGTTGTTATTTCTTCTCTCTCTCCCTTCCTTCCTTCCTTTCCTTTCTCCAGTCAACCTAGCCCCATCCACCACTACCCTCCCTTCTCAATGGACTGTGCTGCACCGCTTGGGTAGAGAGGCACTGGCACACGGCCTCCCTGGGTCTGCGCCACCCTCACAGGCCAGTTCCCTCAGTGCAATATTTTATTTTGCTTTATCCATCCCCTTCTCCCTTTTCCTTCTCCCTCCCACCTAGGCCCTGTGCTGCCTCTGGCCCTTCCTGAGGGGCCATGCCACACCTCTCATCAAGAGCTTGCTGTCACCTCAGTTCCACCCCACCCGCAATGGCTCCCTCATCACCATACTTATTTGTTTTTGTTTTTTAGTTTCTTCTCTCTCTTTCTCTTCTCTCCTCTCCCTTCTCCTGCCCACCTAGCCCCCTGCACTGCCCAGGCCCCTTCTCAACAGGCCGAGCTGTACTGCTTAGCTAGAGAGCTCCAACACAGGACCTTCCTGGGTCTGCCCACTCCCACCCGCCAAATCCCACTGCACTGTCAGTTTATTTACTTTTTTCTCTCTTCCTTCATTTTGTTTGCTTTTGTTTCTCTCTCTTCTTTGTCTCACCTACTTAGCTCCACACATCACATCTTCTCCCTTCCTTCCTGCCTATCTGCACTGCACACTGAGCACTGTACCCCTGAGCAGCACCAATGTGAACCCCCGGATTCCCAACCCTCACCACGCACTGCCCCCAGGCCATGCCCAGTCAGCCAAAGTGCATGCCACAGGCAAACTATTGCTGCCCCTCCTACCTTGCTGGACGTGCACTGCTGCACCAAAGCTGACTGATCAGCCCTGCCAATGTGGACAAGGTGGTGAGAAGTATTGTGTTCACAGAAGAGCAAGCAACAAAACAAGCCCAGCCAGCCTGCCCAGACAACCAAATAAAACAAAAAAGCAGGATGAGACAAACAAATCTACAATCAATAAACAAAGAAAATAATTCCTGAATGTCCCAGAGACAGCAGAAAGTATCAAATATTTTAAAAAAAAAAAGGACAGGATGGCTTAGAAAGCAACCAAAATAAAATACCAGATGACCTTCTGGTAGAAAAACAGGCACAGGAACTACCT